ATCCGGGCATCATACGACCAACGCAGGAACAACGATTTAAAGTAAGAGAGTATATAATAATTGCACGCTAAAATATTTGTGAGAAGTTCTTATAAAAAATAATTGTTGTTTTTTTTCATTTCAGACGATTATCGAATTATCAGAACGTGGTGGCATTGGTTTTGAGCCTTCTTCCTTCTGTTCAGGTTGTCTTGTACGGCGACCCATACGTTCAAAACATTGCAGCGTTTGTGATCGCTGCGTTGCACGCTTCGATCATCACTGTCCTTGGGTTGGCAATTGCATTGGACTTAAAAATCACGCTTATTTCATGGGTTTCCTCTGGATGTTACTCATAATGTGCGGTTGGATGTTATACGGCGGCGCCTGTTATTATATCTATCAATGCAATGTACATTTAACTCTCGTACCGCTTGAGGATTTTGAGAAAGCCATCAGTGACATAGCCAATTGCAATCCATGGGTTGGCTGGGTTATGGCTAATGCATTACTACATCTCTCATGGGTTGTGTTGCTGACAATATGCCAGACATATCAAGTCGTATGCCTAGGAATGACAACAAATGAGCGCATGAATCGTGGACGGTATCGACATTTTCAAGCGAAAGGTGGACAAAGTCCTTTCACACGTGGGCCAATCAACAATTTCTTCGACTTCTTACAATGCAGCTGTTTTGGTTTGGTACAACCACGTCGGATCGATTGGATGAACTACTACGATTTGGATATGCAGGTGGGACGTACAACTGTGGAACAAGAGCCATTATTGCGTGGTAATGCTGATGGTGAAGGTGGTGGCACAGAGCTAGCACACTATCAGTATGTGTAGGATAAGTCGAATCGGGATGCGGAGACACGCAATGCACCCATAGCAAATGTGTAGGCAAAAACGGCTGGGCTGGAAAGTATACAATCAATGGCATTTTTTTTTAAGTGCATTATTTAAAAGGAAGTAGTCAAGTAAATGAATAGTATGACTAAGTGCCTCTTTTACAGTGGGGGTTAACTCAAATTCGGCTGTTAACTTTCAATTTTTGTACTAAAAACCTGTAGTTAACAGCCGAATGAGAGTTAACTCGTTACTGTAAAAACGGCCCTAAGTGGTTTAGTCGTGATGACGCTTCTAAAGTATGTACGTTGTTACAAGGCCAACCCTTAGTCTTGAATAATTGACAGTAATAAGCCACAAAAAGCATTTGCTAAACGCATTAACCTTTCGCTGTATTATATGTAAACCTAGTTATTATAATTTATAAGATTAATTACGCTTAGGTGGAAAATACGTGAACAAATTTTGAATAAATTTGACTACGATGTGCATCGTAAGTACGTAGTTGTATTTGTATTGTATTTATTTTACCACAACTGTAATTATTAGTGCTTACACTTTTTTATTCATATTGATTGCCAATCTTAAAAGCTTTAGATAACAAGGCTATTTCTTTAATTTCTGCGCATACATGTACATGCATAATAGTGAGCTTTTTAAGTTAAGGTTAGACCGTTTTATTATTTCTGACATAATGAATATACTGTCTAACATGTAAACTCAGTTAAAAATTTAGCGAACATTTATTATAGCAAGATCAGAACGACGTTTGCATAGATATTTATGCATGGAAAAGTGTAATGCATTTGCAGTTTGGGTAGCCGTCTGTGTGGTCAAAGTAAACCGATTCATGTTAGCACAAAGATATTGTGTGCGTTGTAGGAAAAATGCATTGGGAATGACATTAGAAATATAGTAAATTATTTGTTAAGCAAATACATATGTATATATGTATTTTTTTTTCTAAAACTTCTTGGTGTCATACGTGCTAATTAAATATAGTACATACATGGCACCCTGAAATTGTGCATATGGAAACTGTGCATACGAAATAATGC